ACAGGGGGAGACAGGCCCTGCCCCAGCTGAGATCAGGGCCCCATTATGCCGAGCACTGCACAGACACACAGGGGGAGACAGGCCCTGCCCCAGCTGAGATCAGGGCCCCATTATGCCGGGCACTGCACAGACACACAGGGGGAGACAGGCCCTGCTCCAGCTGAGATCAGGGCCCCGTCATGCTGGGCTCTGCACAGACACACAGCGAGAGACAGTCCCTGTCCCAGCTGAGATCAGGACACCATTATGCCGGGCACTGCACAGACACACAGCAAGAGACAGTCCCTGCCCCAGCTGAGATCAGGGCCCCGTTGTGCTGGGCGCTGCACAGACACACAGGGAGAGACAGTCCCTGCCCCAGCTGAGACCAGGACCCCATTGTGCCGGATGCTGCACAGACACAGTGTGAGACACTCCCTGTCCCAGAGAATTTACAATCAGAGTCTGAGATTCCAAGGCCCCTCAGGGTGTCAGGTGTTCAAATCCCAATGAAATACAACTCTTAGGCTCCTCTGAAAATCAAAGCCTAAATGGACAGAGCACACATTGCTTAAAAATTTTGTTAAGATGATGTTAAAAAAATAAATAGTGAACAGAGTTTGAGCATAGAAGTTTCTGGTTATCAAGGGAATAACATACAGATTATCGAGGGTGCAAAATTTGGTTTAAGATCAGGTGGCATGAGGAATACATAATCTGCAATATCCCCAATTGGGAGTAAAAGTTTGATGGGTCAAAGTACAGACATTGAGATATGAGGGTATGAAGTTCATAGACTGGTTGTGTTTGGGTGTGGAGTATAATGAGTGGATATGCTGATGAGGATGGATTGACCCTCATTTGGTGAGATTTAATGTTCAGGGAGTTTATGGTTCCAGTTCATATGATCCAACGGAGAAGGTCACTTGGTCCCTTTCTCGTAGTGGGAGAACGATGTCACTCTGGTTCATGCCTCCTGGTACTGTTGGTGGCCAGTGATGTGCTCGATGTAGATGTCCCTGGACCATTGGATGGTGTCTGAGACCATGAGGCGCTGCATGAGCCGTGTGTAGCGTCGACTGATCCCGCAGGTCCGCAGCACATGCTCGTTGCAGGGGTCCCAGGTGCCCAGGGCTCTGACAATCAGGGCGTCCATCTGCACCTCGTAGCCCTTCGCTCTCAGGGTGTCAGCCAGGGGGGCATACTTTTCCAGCTTACGAGCTCGGGCTTCGCAAAATGCCGGAGTCCTGTTCTCTGAGGAAACTACAATCCATCGGTGATCTTCCAGAAAACACCATCCTGGCCACTATGGAGGTAGAAGCCCTCTACACCAATATTCCACACAAAGATGGACTACAAACTATCAGGAACAGTATCCCCGATAATGTCACAGCTATTTCTAATAAATTTGTTAGTCTCTAAGGTGCCACAAGTACTCCTGTTCTTTCTGTTCTCAAAGGAGACCGTGACATCGACGAGGATGATCTTTTTCTGGGCCTCGTCGGTGAAGATGACATCAGGTCGTAGCTGGCTGTCAGTACCGGGGATGGTGCAGTTCATGGAGATCTCCCCCAGGCGTGGCATGATGGCTTTCACCAGGCGGTTCTGGATGGCATTGTGGTGCAGCTGCCAGGCTCT